TAATGGCAAAACTATGATCACGATGATTCATCTTCCAAGGCTTGATACGTCTAAAAATCTTTGACATGTGGATCTGAGTGGGTTGCCCCATCTGATGTTTTCACAACATTTACTTTTCTCCCTGCCCAAAAGAACAATCGACAAATCCCTGAATTAAGTGGTACTTGCTTAACAAGTTCTTGACTCCCACTTATCTATCAGGACCTGGTGTTATATGTGAGGCTTAGAAGCTGCTTAGCTGAGCACGTGACGGATGACGAATGTTTGGGCGCCACCTCCTTCCTTCAGAAATCCGTGGAGCCCATAGTGCCCATAGCCCTGGATGCGACCGCAGGGTCGCAGTGCATGGCGGAAGATTTGGAGAAGGCACCGGAACGGGGAGAATCGGAGAATCGGGGAGATGTGGCCGTGACCCTTGTGGCCCTTGTGGTTTGAAATGATTGTTCAATGATTTTTGAACTTCCATTCACGATGCGAGTATGTCCCAAGTCAAAAACAGTTCTTTATTTCGAGTTGATCTCCGAGGCTTTGGGGTCCCAGAAAAATGCAGGAAGGGGCTGAATGCCTAGTGAATGCCTGGATGGTTTTCTTTGCATGTGCGCGTTGGGTGGGTTCAGCCTAACTCCTAAGTAAAAAAAGCATGGCAGAAGAAGTGCGCATGTTAGATTCCACTAGGCTGAGTATGTCAAAACTGAGGATCCGGAAGAACTACCCATCAGTTTGCCCTTTCCAAACAGCCATGGAGACATCACTCGTAGTTTGACAATGCACGCAAGTAATTTTGAAAGACGGGTTACCACCTGACAGTCAAAGCATTTCAGAATGTGTTTTTGTGGTTTCTCTTCTGGTCAGTCCTGCCCATTCTCAGTGTCAAGTTGTTCACTTCTTTCCACATGCCCAGCTTGTTTCTCTAAGCTCTAAGCGGCCAGTCGTAGTGATTGCCACCGGTTCAACGAGGTTCTGAAAGGCCTGAAAGAGTCCAAGGGACAGAATCTTGTGCAGTTTGATGCGGGTATGGATCAAATCCTCTGATTTTGCCACTTAGGGGGATGAAAATCCACAACAACCTCTTATTTTGCTATGAGTATCCAGGCTACCAGGGTTTTGACTCATACCCATATTGTATCTTCCAGGCAAAGTCTTCCAGATGTTCCCATGCATGCTGGAGTTTTCCAGCCACAACTAGGCCAAATTCCGACATCCTGCTTTGGGACATGAGTTGCAGATAGTTGATAACAGTTCTACCATGGTGAATGGAGACTACCCAATTTCATCGAGCAAAGCAGCATCTTTTTGATTCCGCTGATCCCCAAAATTCGCCAAAAACTCTCGCCCAAAGGAACCTCAACAAATATCTGGGTTTTCCCATGATTTTACTTCTTTGTGGAAGTCTTCTGGTGCTACTCGCTGGACATCGCTTGGTCAACATCGTGGTGCTGACCAGTGTGATCCTGGCCACATTCTTCCTAACCTTTGAGTTCTTATGGTGGCGTGGCATTAAATTCCTATGTGACTGCCTGCAAATCAAGAAATGGATTAGATTATCTGAGGCTGTTTAAAGATGTCTAGAGTTTAGTGAGTTTTGGTCGGGAATCCTCCAGAACTGTATCAGTTTGACCTGGTTGGACACTGAGGCAGGTCCTACATCACTCGTGTTCTGCACCTGTTTGGGTGGGAATTATTGCAGCTTGGCAGAGTGCTCAATCCTCGGCAGGAATCCCATGAATCCCTAGAAGGATCGGCAGAATTTGTTTCACCATCGATGGGGCTTCAACAGTTGATGGTGAAACAAATTTAACATTGTTAAACATGGGGGAAACCATCAGAATGCAAATATGGGAGTTTAACAGTTTAATATTGTTCAACCTGGTCCAACCATTCAGAATGGTGGCCTTTTTGATGGTTTTGGCATCAAAAATGGTGATTCCTTCAGGTGTCCCTTATTGCAGCTGGAGCGGCCCTTTGTTTCTTGGAGGCTTCTGGGCAGCGAGGAATCCCAAACTGTCTAGGGATGCGCTGGAATGATGGCCTCTATAGAAACTCCAGAAAAACCTGTTTTTCTGCAGATGTTTGTCCGGCAATGTCACGACTGCTCTTGCCAGAAGGTTCTTGGTTTGGCCACCTTGTGTTGATGGTTGCTGAATGTGAAAGTGAAGCTAAGCCACTGATTCCATAGGTGCATGAGCACGTCCCTGAAATGTGTCTCCTTTTCCGCAAAGAGAGACATGAGTTGCCAATACGTTTGGAACACGTGCATGCTTTGGATTTGCTCATGTGAATGTATTAGGAATGTATTAGGAATGTGTCCGGAGATGATGTGAGGTCGCCATCATAGTGCCCGGGGCCTTGTTCGGGGCCATCCTGTCCTATCAGATCCAGGCAGCAACGCGTGTTTCGCGAAGGGCTGGGTGGGATTCTGCAGATTCTGCAGATTGGCAGGCCATTCTGCTCACGGCTTCTCCACAGTTGGAATCGAATGTGTTTATGGCGCCTTGGCGATTCGAAGTCTTGGGATGAGAGTATGCCTTTGTAGCCGCTGCCATAAAGGCAAATGTACTGTTGTTTGAGGCATATGGCATCCACATGGTAGCTGGTGACTTTTTAGACCGCGCCAATTCGGCATATTTTTTAGGTCCAAACTTTCGATATCAGCATCACTGGGGTGCAAGATCTTTCAGTTTCTGGTGTAGAGATACCCCGACTCTCTGAATAGTTGAAGATGAGTGTGGCTCTACTCTAAACAGTCATGCTTTTTAGTATCACAAAGGTATCAGAATCAAGACAATGAACCTTTGTGGCTTCATGGTCCCACCTTGACCAAGCAGACACAGAGAAGGAAAAGTATTACTTCATCATCGCGATTCTTGCAGCCATCATCTTCGGATACCTGGCCCACAAACTCAAAGTGCCTTGGACGACATGAGCTAGACACACGCTACAGCAGTTGACCGAATCAATTGGAGACGAGAGAGTCATGGTTCGGAGACGCACTTCGAAACACTGACGGCACATGTTTTCCGTTCAAAGATCGCTTCCCACTCCAGAGATGATAGAACAGTTGCGCTCTTGCCACAAGTTGCCACAAGTTCCTTGAAGTCAACTAACATAGCCTGTAGATGCCTATAGTCTATTGTATAGTACTCTACGTGGGTTGTTGGTGAAACACCTATTATTCCAGAACATTCTGAAACTGCAATACCTGCTGATACTGCAACTTGCCAGGATGATGTCTTCATTCTCCTGACAGCAGTCCTGGGTGCTTATGGCTTCGAAATCGCCTTGCGTGGCATACTCTTGGACACCTGCCGGGGTGTGGATGGTGCTAAGTCACTTAGAACTGAAACCACATCAAAAGGATAAAAGGGCTGATAGCTACCCTGAACCAGGACCTTATGCCTCTTGGGCTTTGTGATGACAGCTTCCTACTCAAGACCTTTCCAGCTCCAGAAAGTAGCTACTACATTTTGCCTAGAAGTCAGAGTATATAGATATGTATATAGCTGATACTGATGGATCCTATCACTGAGCATCAAAGATCGTCGTGTCACAAACATATATAATCATGTAAATTCTTTGACTTTCCAGTCGCTGGATTCAAGGACTACTTCGAATGCAAAATGTCCACTTTGGCCTCCTTGATTTCCATGGTGAGTGCCTTCATCGTGGGTTTGGTGGTGCAGCATTTGGGCGGCAAAGTCGGTGTGGCTTTGTTGATACACAGTGCTACCCTGAAATTGCCAAAAATGAATAAAATTACATGCAAACTGCTACCTTCAGGAGGAAACTTGGAAGATGATATTTCAATTTTAAGGGATCTTCCTCTTCAAGCAAAGCGTGCTGCACTTGGATTTTGAGCTTGGATAGCGTTGCAAATTCCAATCGCAAGAATCAAGAACCAAGGAAACCCATGAACGTCGTTCCTGTTCTGCTAGGAGTCCCCAGCTTCACCCTCCGCTAGTGAATCAGGGATGACCCAGGGGTTTTGACTGGACAGGCACAGAAATGCGAAATGACACAGCGCAGAACGGCGAATGGCGTGAGAAGCACCATGGTCCAAGAGTCAAAGATCAAAACGATCGATGCCCGGAGCAAAAACTTTAAGCTGGTTGGTGGTTTGGAACATTTTTATTTTCCGCAATATATGGGATAATCCTTCCCATTGACTTTCATATTTTTCAAGATGGTCAAAACCACCAACCAGTAAATTTCTTAAGCCATCACAGCCATCAAAAACCGCACCTTCAATCGTGGCTGACGTTATTGACCGACGTCGAAGCGTTGAACAGAGACCAACTGGGCTGGGAAAAAGCTGGAGCTGTGAGGTCCCTGGATGAAAAATCCTCATGTAGATTTCAGCCTTATCGTATTCCCAACCTAGGTGTCCAATATGAATCTCAAAATCGGCTACTTCCCATGGATTATCATCCGCTTTGCCATTTGAATTGGCAACAATTTGGGATATACAAGGTATACTGTACCTTTTGGGGCAACGGTTACATCCCCACTTCCATAGATTTCATTCTCAATTTTGATGTGTTAATTCTTAACTTTTCCGGGCAAGCTCTACAAAATTGGAATATTCGGAATGGTACTCCCTGAAAAACTGCAGGATCCCAACACATCAACCAGTCGCTGCAGTCGCTTTAGAGGCTCAACTTTGTGCTGCCTGGCTGCAGCGAGTGCGGCGAAATGCGCCGTTGAAGGCCAAGGTCCGCAAGACGCTGATTGAGAGAACATAACACACAGCTCAAAATAAACTTCTCTGCTGGATATCCAAGATCATCATAGATCATCCACAAATGGACTGAAACGTCGCCTGATGATTTCAGGGATTTCCGGTGGATTCACTGACGCTATTTGGTGAAGGGAAGAATTAATCCCAGAATATATAATCAAAATATATTGATGATGCTGCTAGTATGATTGTGAGTAAACATTTAACACATGTTATTGACCAACCCAGCTGGATGTCAACCGTTTCGTCTAAGTGATATCGAGGAAGGTCTCACCAATATGTGCACAGTCCGACAGATGTTCAGAGAAGGCAAGCAGATTTGGTTGATGATTTTGGGGATGGTTTTTTTAAGGTTTACCATGTTATTTAAATTATGTGTTTCACACTCTTCGATAGAAAGCATCAGTGAGTACATCGAATTTCTACCCAGCTCTGATGCTTAGTCATGTGCACTATCAGAAATCTCTAAAACCACATGCCAACTTCACCCCATCGTCGGGTTGCGTTTCTTCCTATTTCGAAATGCGTTGCCAATGTCAGGACTTTGGAGTGATTTGCTTGTACCGACCCCATGCAGAAGCATGTGCCGCTGCGGCAAGAGCAGGTGCAATTGGTGATGGAAATCCAATGGCTCGCGGAAAGTATATTTTTCAGTACTGTAACAACGGAAATGGAATGACCACGAACAAGTGGTGGGTGCCTACTTGGTTGCTGGAATTTGGTACTGGTAGATTGTTCATAAAGCCAGAAAAAAATGCCAAAGTTCGGTTTTCCGCAGGTGGCACTCATGGTGTGGACTTTGCCACGGTGGATTCCTTTCAAGGCAGGACGTTTTTTGAACATGGAGCAGGAAAAAATCCTGTTGGAATCTCAATGAGTCACCCCAAAAGTAATGACTCAATGTGACTCATCTCAGATTTACAGGCAATCTGTGGCATCGTATTTTTGTGGGCCCCAGCCTCATTAGCCTAACATCACCCACTGAAATCATCCGTTTTGTGCCAGGTGGTGAACGAGAAGTGGTGGCCTTGTGTTGCGGCCGTATCTCGACATCCTGGGGTGTGGGGATGTGGTCATTGACACCACATCGAGAGGTGACCAACCACTTTCACAATAGATGACAATCATGAGCAAGAAGGAAGGGTCTTGACACTTCGAACCACTTGAGCAAATCGAGTGTCTATATCGAATCGCACTGTCCATAGTATTCTTAAGATGCAAGGTTAGTGCAGCCACAGGCTGGTGGATTGTTGGATGCATATTTGTTTAGAATCTTGGAAAATATGTAGCTCATCCTGGGATTTTGCAGCCCGGTGAAGCTTCATGCAAGACATGGTCAGCTGATCCGTTTTTAGTCCAGTGACCTCAGAAAAGCGGCACCAGAGATCTGCTGGGTTGATCATTTATCCCTTGTTCAATTGCCAAACATCCCAGAACGGTTTGAAACTGGATTTGTTGATTTTGCTGTGATAGGGGCACACCGATTCATAGTCTGGCCTGGGATTACAAGCTGTGCTCCATTTGCAACCGAGCCAAGTGCCGTGAACCACCCCTGTATCTGGTCAGGAGAGCAACAGCTGAGCAAGCTTTAGATGTTTTAGCGAAAGCAGAGTGCCCATTTTAGATACAAATATGTCCACAGATTATTGATATTTTACATTATTATATGCAAGACTCTATTTGAGATATAATGATATATTATATGTAATATATGTTATATATATACGTATTATTTGGTATATAATGATATATACATACATGTCATATCTCATATATAATTACGTACATTACATTGCAGCTGCACATCATGCATCCCTGTCGATCCTCTCATGGATTTCGGCAGTCCCAGGCTCCACCCCTCAGCTTGACGGCACTTTCTCCTGTTGCCCCAAGCGGCTCAATGTGGCCATGCTGGGGCCCTCAGTCGTGACGAGTTTCTCCACCCTGGACCCTGATCGATTTCTCTCCTTGTTCATGCCTTTGACCATTTTCTTGGCCCAGCCAGCTGGGATAAAGCACGGCATTCCTAAATTAAGAGCAGATCGGGAATGGCCTTCCATGGCTTCAGTTGGACATTCTTGGGTGTGGCTGAAACTGCGCAACTTCGGTGCCCCAATCTCCGCCCATTTCAAGTCTTGGCAAAGGGATGGAACTGCAGAACTACAGATTCCTGGTCACATCATCTGAGTTTGTCTAAAGATACATACGGTACCCATTGCCCCAGAATCCACTGGTTGAACACCCACATTCCACCCACCCCAATATTATAACATTGCCATTTCCTGCCATTTCCCTCATTTCTGGAGCCACCTTGAGAGTATTGCTGTCCACCCATTGATGTCCTGCCAAGGTCCCGCGCGCGGCGGCATTTGGTGATCTTCGGCACCGAGAGCTTTCTTGCGACGCATCCCATTTTCAGCTCCTTGGCACAGCATGGATCGCGAGGGGGACGCACTGGCGCCGGAGACACCAGGGCTAGTGATGGCTAGTGACGGGTGTAAGCATGCTGAAACATTCTTCAGTGGATCATATCCGTGAAATTCCGCGAATACATATGAATACACTCATGGACATGGGTGAAGGAATGATGGAACCCTGGTGTTGTCGCAGTGTATCCAGTGGCCAATTGCAATGTCCAACCCAATCCAGCCCAGAGCCAAACTGTGATCCCTTGTTGATTTGTAGCTTTCGGGGAATCCGAATCAGGTTTGATTCTTCAAACGGCCGCGGCCAACGGCTGTGTCCACCATGCCAGAGAGGTCTGAGGCTGAAGGCAGGGCTTGGGGGTGCTGTTTCCCAGGGTCCTGAAGTCCTGTAGTCAAAGTGGCTTTTGTCCATGCCGAATTTCAGAAGTGCACCTAGGGTTCTCAAGTTTCGAAGCAAAATGACTCCAGAACATGCTGACCCGGAACGCTTCCCGTGATCAGGTCATGGGGCTGCACTTTGGGGACGATCCATGGCTCTGGGGGAGTGGAGCGCTGGATCAAAAAACGACCAAAACCTGTTGCGCGCGCTGCAAAGGTGGGAAGTTAGCTCCGGTCATTGCCCCAAATTCGGATAGGAAAACAGGAAAATGCTGTCAGTTTCCAAGTCAGTTTGTCCACGCGGGTTTGGGATTGTATCTCTCATGGATGCAGTGTCTGAAGCTTGCACTGATGGTGTTCAAGTGCAAAGTTTTTTTGTTGGCGATACCATTATGCCAAGGTCAGCGAATTCTGCGAGTCATTTTTAATGGAGAAATTAAGATGCAATCAGATACGCGCACGCACTCACGCACACACACGCAATATTGTCGCTATTAGTAATTTGTAAACAAACACAATATTTGCACACATTTCTCATGCCATTCTTCCAAATTAATGAACTCTACCTGCAGCTGAATAACAAGCCCTTCAGGTTGCCAGGCCTACTGCCCACAGCCTGTGATACAATCATATTGGCTCATGTTGCCAATTCTTGCTCTAATTCCAATAGATTACATACCTAGAGCCTTCCACGAAAGGACATGGTGTTGTTCATTGAGTCAGCAAAGTGGAAAGGTTTTAACAGTGCACTCCTCTCCGTTTCAGAAGTCATATCGTCCAACTAGTCAGATCAAAGCTTAGTTGCGGGGCAGAATCAAACAGGTCGTAGTACTAGCTTCTTTACTTGGATTGTGAAACTGCCACTGTGATTGCCTCTCCCGCGAACATCGACACTTGGCAAGGCCGGGGGTTTTCAGTGCTGACAGGAGTTTTCTCCTGGCTGTGATTTGATGTCCATCTTGCTGAGATGCCACACCCTGGCTTTTTCTGCCTCTTTCCAAATTTGATAGAGTCCCAGAAACATCCCAGTTGGCAATATCACAAGTAGCCCCCAAGTTGTTGATGTAGATACTTTAATGACATATTTGATAGTGCAATGAATTACATCAATGTTTTTGGATCTCTGGGCAACATTTCCAACGGCAAAGGCTGCCATGGGCTCCGAACCTTTGGAAAGATCTGTGGCCTTTGTTGGGTCCCTCAGTCCCTCAGATTCGGATCGCCTTGGGGGGTTTGGCAAAGGAACTGGAAGGAGACTCCGTTGCCATTTGGCGATAGAATTCGGTAGAAAAGAAATGAAAAGAAGATGTACCAGTAGTACCAGCTTGGAATCTCATTCCCAGTTTTTCCAAAGTTATCCCAGATTGCAAACAGGCACTCTCTCTCTTTTCCCACTGATTAAAAGTGTCAGCTTTGGCAGGGTATTAGCAGGCCATGCATCTAACCTACAAAATTCTCACTGGTTGATATTGGTTGATATTCCGATTCCACAACAGCACCTCTCACATCGCTCAGCACCCAGTCCCAAAGCTCTCGCGCTTCTGCATCTCGTGCATCTCGTGCATCGGTGGGGGAAACCCAGCTAGGACATCCACCAGGTAAGGCGCTAAGGCGCTTAAGGTGGTCAGGTTTGTTGACTACCATGCTACCAATATGCTACCATGATCTACCATGATCTATCATGTATCCACGGTGCATGGAAACACAAAGGACACTGCTACGCCTAGGCTAATGTCACCCCTTCTGCCAGTGCCGCATCGGCATCGCTGCCGTCTCAAAGATCAGGAGCAGTGACCGACAGGTCAGGATGAGGAAAAGGCAGTCCCGTCCCCTAACAATACCCCAATCATAATGATTCATAGTCCAAGGGGTTAATCAGCCAAAAAGCTGTATACAACAATCCATAAAAAAAAATGAACCTGCTAGACCACAAGTCATAAGAATACCAGATACATGTGGATGTATAATTCATCCCCTGAATAATCCCTGAATAATAAACCGTGTTAAATACAACCCAAAATGAATCGATCCATCACCGAGGGTGTGTTCGTTCACAAGGGGAAGGCTTTGATTGGGAGTTACTGTTCCACCAATGTTACCCTATTCCGGGTTACTTGTTGTTTGCGCATTCATAAATGCCGATTCCTATTCAAAGCCTTTTTTTGCCTGGCTATGAAGTTCAAGACTGTATCATAGCATGTCATAGTAAAGAAGTTTGCGCATGTGACCATCACTGACAAGGATATATGGAAACTGATTCTCTGCAAATGGCTATTCAGATTTAGCTCCTATCTATGTGTAAGATACTGTAGCTTCATGTAGCTTCTATCTACATGGCAGCTCGACACAGTCCTCAGACGTACACGAACTTGTGGCTGGTTTATGCCGAAACAGCTTGCTTTCATCCTTGTGACTGTGTCCATGCTACAGCTTGTTTTATGATGTCTTATATGACTATCCATGTTGCGTTCATGTTGTGCTTGTTTTGTGTTCTTTAGATTCCACCCTACTTCTCTACCATTTGTCCCCTGTCAGGAGCCGCAAAAGAACGGCCCAGCACTGGTGTCTCTGAGGTTACCGCTTCGTGGCGGTTGGCTTCCGGACCAAAAACAAAAGTCACAATGGTGAATCGAAATCCGAACAGATAACCCACCATGATACAACGGTTGGTGGTGATTTTATGTTATTTTTCCATATATTGGGAATAATGATCCCATTTGATACTGGTTGGTGACCGGTTGGTGGTGATTTTTCCATATATTGGGAATAATGATCCCATTTGACGTTCATATTTTTCAGAGGGGTAGGTCAACCACCAACCATGATAGGATGATGACTTGATGATTACTGGCATAATCATGGTAAACCCAACATTCAACGATCCGGAATTTTGCCAGAAATGCGTTGTCAAAACCATCCTTAAATTGGAGTGTTATGATTGGGTTTACCTGTTTACCACAAAAAACTTTTGAAAAGGACTTAATTCCTCCAATCTCATAATTAGTTTGCTCTCAGATTTTCATATGGTTCTTAGCTCAGTGATTGCTATCCCCAACAGGATTGTTGAGAATGGTACCATATGATACCCAAAAACCATGCCTACAAAATCTTTGACACCCATCATCGCCCATCATCACTTGGGTGCATCGCTTCCCTGGTAGGCCTCAACGGGTCGAGGACTCAGCTGTTTGAAGGTGTGAAAACCTGCTGTTTTTAAGATGTTTTAACCAGGCCTTTAGGACCCTTTAGGGCGTCCAAGTTGTTGAGAAAGTAGTTTGTAGCATGCCAAAGGGTTCAGAAGATATTGAGAAATTTCGTGAAGCTTTCACTTCTACTGCCTGTTGAGAATCACCTCAACAATCCTCAACAAAGATTTGTGCCAGAATCAATCCATTGAGGCGTGCTTTCAAAATCTCGGCCCATTTCCATTTGAGGCCGCTCCAGTGTGGAACCCTCCAAGTCCGATTACCCAAATGGAGTCAGATGGAAAGCTGGTGCCTTCACAAACATATGACTGGAAGTGAAACCCAATTCGGATGGATGGCGAGTATCTCGTTGGCGATATCAGTGATCTGTTTGAGGATACTGTCAGGTCCACTGTAGATAAAAGCCCGGAAGCAGGTATGCAGGTACTGTTCCAGGGTTGTAGTTCTCATGTTCTTCAGATTCTTCAAGTGTCTTTGCAAGGCGAGGATCGAGAGTATGGCTAGGAGAGGGCTATAGAGACAATCATCCTGATACTAGTTTAACATCCTGTCAGCTGGTAATGTTTCTCCATCGCAAGTTCACCCTGGGTTCCACGTTGCATCACCTTTTGATGAAACGGTGAAGAAATAAAGGACAAACTATATACATCTATATGATAAAAAGCTGGGATACGATCTAGCTGACATATCTTGAGATTTGAGATAGCTCTGATCCCAGGCACTGGCAAGTCCCGACCAAAGCCTTGCTGGGACATCAGGTGGAGGGGTGCTGTCCCCATATTTCTGGGTCTCGAAATCGCCATTTGGATCATTTCAATGTGAAAGATATCAGTAAATGAGAAATAGTGAGAATTGCGGTTTCTTAGTTCGGAACAAAGCCTTTCAGAAGAACGCCTACCTTTGACCCTTCAAAGAATTTCCAAAGGATTGAGGATATCAACTATCAAGAAAGGGAAAATTTTAACTGCAAACGTGTACAATTGGCATTTCTATATGATTTCAGATAGACCTGGAAGAACAAATAGGAAACAGAATGGAACAGAATGGGACAGAGCTGACAGACATGTTACACATGTTGCGACTTTGCAATCAAAGTGAGCTGACAGTGTGATTATAGCCTTGATGGGCCCCCCTTATCCATGAACCGATGTGAGCTGCATCTAACGAAAATGGTGCCAGATGCTGCCATGTTCACAGTGTTCACAGCGGTTACAGTGTTTACAGCACGCTTGTGCACATAGAACATCATAAAACATCATAGAACGATATAAAACATGCAGCGTGCAACTTCAACATCTCCCCAAGCGCAGCTGCCTGACGGTCCCGACGGATTGTGACTTTGCAAGGAGGAGGCTTCGACCTACTCAGACACCTCAAGGCGAGAGATATTCTGGTCACATTTGGGGGAGGTAATGTTCCCTGCGATCAGGTAGCTGGGGAATAAATCTTGTGGTGGGGACGGGACCAAACCTGCAAAGCAAGGCACCGCCACCGCTGCCTGTGAGATCTATGTTGTCACAGCTAATCCCTTCCCCATGGTGTTATATAGCCCCTAGAATACCTTGGTTTAATAATGAATCTATTCATTTCGGCTGTCCTTATTGGGCGTATTCTATATGAGGGGGGACAGATTAGTACTCAAACTTGATTCCTGGCGATTGCCTTGACCTCTTGTGATTGTTGCCTTGAGGGCTAGATGATACTAGAAAAGCCAGAGCAAAATTCAACTTCAATGGACACCAGCCGTTGCTCGCA